GAACCTCGAGAGATGGCCTTTACCCCAGATCCCTCTCTTCTTTTACATGTACTTCACTCACTTTTCTTGGTGTATAAACCCACAAACTGAAGCCCTATCTTGACTGGAAGTACTGCTTTCCGGAGCTAGCTGCGTTTGCGTCCAATATCGATAATCGTTTGAAAAAATAGAAGGACAAGAAAGTCGCAGGACCTGGGAGTGGGTATAGACCGGTATCAGAATGACCTCTAGACGAAGCTGAATAGCAAAACGAAAAAAGAATTGTAAACGTGTGTAATTTACAAAGCGTCCATAGCTTAGAAAGCCTTCTTTCTAACCTGCCGACACGACATCTCAATATATTTTGTTGCCGGTAGTTTTCGCCACCTTTTCCTTCTTTGCGTAGAAAAAAGCTGCGCAGTCAATAATACATTATACTCGGCCTTGGCGTTTCCAGAATTTCCAGGATTGTTTCTGTCCTCACTCCTCCACGTGTCTACCGAGCACTGAGCTCCGGGTGGCACAGGTCGAGTTACTTGTCAAATTACGTTATAAATAAAAACAGCTTTGGATTGACAGCCGAAGCATGTTGAAGGTTGACTAGGAAGTGATGGTCTGTATTTTGTTACAAATTATTAACCTCAGTGGTCCGTGTTTGTCATAAATTAGCATGGATTAACGGAGTTTACATGCTAAATTTAGGTCAAATTTAGGTTTGAGAATGGTAAATCAAAAAACCCCAGCACCGGAAACAATTTCATTTCACCGAACGCCGCAGCGTGAAAAACACAAACATCACACACCGCAGGGTTTGAGATCACCGCAACACCGCAAGTTGAGATTTTATTCATCGCATCACCACATTAAAAAAACATCAACACCGCAACACCGCAAATCCCCATGTCCCCCTCTATGTTTAAACGCCTGTAGAAACGCAGGGATTTTATCTATCGAGATGATTTTTTCACTGAAGTAATCATGGAAACTAGTAGATTTTATTAAAGGGAATACATTTTTGGGGGTTAGTGGCACTACAATAAAATTCAAATTTGCAAAACTAATTACATGTCTATTGATAAAATAGAATATTTATAATAATGATAATAAACTTAATTTATTTAGTAATACTAATGAGAGTGAATATATTCACCTACAGAGATATTGTATACATCATTGACCTTACCTAACTGCTGTCTAGTTCCTATTAATATCAACTCAGTTGTATCATCATTAATCAGAGGATAGACAATAGATTACGTCAAATGGCTATTTTCGTGTTCGCCAAAGTGGGCAAAGGGCGGCTTTCAAGTTATGTTGAAAGATTTTGAAAAAAAAAAGCGTTTTCTGTAGTTTGTTTTATTATTATAAAAAACAAATAGATTCCATGTTGCTGTGCGCCTGTTCAGTAATAGGTCATAGAAGATGTCAAAATGTGGTAAGAACATCAGTGACACACTCGGCTATCGCCTCGTGTGCCACCTATTTGTTCTTACCACATTTTGACATCATCGGTAATCTATAACTGAACAGACAACAAGGAATCTATTTGTTAAATATACACATGTTAAGCATAAACCAATTCTGAAGTATCCTCTGCTCTTCCCCCATCTTTCCACCTTTTGACACACAAGAAGACAAACTCATCATCATCTTCAATATCTTCTAATCTGAATGTCAGCCATTTCACCTGCAAGTTGTTTTGACTACAAGTCAATTTGCCCACATCGAAGTCATTTTGCCTACATTGAAATCGATCCACCTATATGATCTAAGTCGTTTCACTTACATGATCTAAGTCGTTTCACCTACACTTGAGTCAAAGTTATTTTGCGAAGATAGCTAAATATAAGTGCCATACTTCTTTAGATGGAAAAAAAAACAGAAAAAATTCAGTGGCGCACGGTACTCTCTAGCTACACATTGGGGTTGCTCAGCAGTTTTTCTCTGACTGGAAAAATCATCTCACCGTTCGAATATTTTAGTCTGCAAGGAGTGGTATCTTGCTCTTTGAATCCTATTTAGTTTTCTTCTGAACCCAAACGAATTTGTAGTGCCGTCAGCAGAGCCAAGGAATGTCTTCCCCGCACTTGACAGCGTTTCATTATCAACTTACTGCTGTGAAAGACAAAGAGAAAAAAAGTAACACTTAAGCCTGGTTTCCATAAGATCGCAGACGATCGCAATGGATCGCAATCACAGGATCGTAGGTTCTGCGATCTGCGATCATATGGAAACACGCATCTGCAGTTGTTTGCAATCCATAGCAATCGTCTGCGATTGATCACAGAAAATAGAACCAAGTCCTATTCCCTGCGATTGCCTGCGATCGTTGCGATCATAGGGAAACACAATTGCGATTCATTGTGATGGAAACTTATCCCTTAATATTAATAACCAATCCCATTTGAACACTCCATAGCAACAACACCGTGTTATTCGTTTGTGGCAACGCTACACTCATTTCTCGTAAACAACAACGGAGTTAACAGGGCTCGAAATTGCGACTCACTGGTTGCCAATGCGACCAAAAATTGAGCACTGGCGACTAAATTTTCAGAACTGGTCGCCAGCTGGCGACTCGC